GGGCCGAAACCGGCCCTCCGACATCCTCCAGGGGGCCCTGATTGTGAGAAGGTGCAGGCGAGGCCAAGGGACCCCACCAATGCATGATCACCAGTCTGGGGTGGGACGCGGGAGGTTGGCCAGCCGGGGATGGGCCATGGGGGGCGCTCCAGGGCAGGTCTGGCCGATCTCGCTCAGTCCCGATTGGCTGGACCACAGCAGAAAGCTCACCTACCAGAACGTCTGCCCCTGGTGGTCAGTGCACGTCATAGGGAGCAGTTGAGTGATACTAAAAGCCTAATATGCTAAGTGTCCGGTCGTTCGGTTGGCTGTTCAACCAATCAAAGTGTAATATGCTAATGATATGCTAAGGCCACTCAACTGCTCGCTATGACGTGCACTGACCACCAGGGGGCAGACACTCAATGCAGGAGCCTCTGCAAGCCAGGCTCACTGCTGGTGAGCACAGGCAATGCAGGACCCTCTCCCGCCTCCACAGCAGCACTAAGGATGTCCAGCTGAAGGCTCCTGGGCTGCAGGAGGGTGCAGGCCAGGCCGAGGGGTCCCCCACCAGGTGCACGGGTTTCATGCACCAGGCCTCGTGTGTGTGTGTGTGTGTGTGTGTGTATGTGTGTGTATCTCCAATGCCCACACTTCTTAACAGCCACTCATCTGCCAGGCAGACATGGCGCAACCCTCAGGACTTGCACGTGGAGGAGGTTCAGAGGGCGTGATTCGAAAAGGCTGGTGGACAGACCGCTCAGTGGTGGGGAATGCAGCGAGGGCAACAGGGAGGGGCATGCCTGCAGGAAGTGGGCTCAGAGCACTGGGTGTCCGCCACCAGCCCCCCACCCACCTGTTAGAGCTCTCACCGAGCTGCAGGTGCTGGGGAAGCCAGGAGGGGGCGCCGCGCGGAGCCGGCTCCAGAGATCGACCGGGAAGTGAGTGAGGGTGGGACGGTCTGGGAGTGAAGGGGACTCCGTCCCGAGACAAAACCGGGAGGAAGAGGCTTTGCTCCTTCCTGCCCATCCTCCGCCTTCCGCTGTGTCCTCACCCTGCCTTCCTCTCACACATTCCCCACCTCCCGCCCCAACCCCTGGCCTGGAGTTCTCCCTGCCACTCACTCGCTCTCATCCTCTCACCGAGCCCCTGCCGTGTGGCCAGGAAAGGTCAGGAGGGAGACACGGTCGAGGCAGGTGGCGGGTGCCTGGCAGGGACAGGGTCCCTCCTGCCAGTCCGTCCTCCCCTGCAGCCAGTGTGTGTCCGCGTGTGAGGAGGAGCCGGTATGACCCGCGGCTCCCCTGACGGTTCCTGCACGCGTGCCCCTGTGAGGTGACTCCCGCTCTGTCCCTCGCACGCACGATGGGTGGCCTCACCCCTCCCTCCCGTTGCCGGGAGCTGGCACCTGCAGGCACCTGTGGCTGCCTCCCCATCGCAGCTCCGAGGCAGGGGCCTGCGGGAGGCGGGTGGGGGCGACGCCTGTGGAAGGTGGGGCCACGGGAGTTGCTGGCCGGCACTCCGAGGTGAGGGTGTCTGTTTAACCCCCTCTGATTCCTACTGTGATTAGAATTTCAGGCTTCATCACAGGGACCCTGGCATGTGAGTCCATGCTGCTTGGGGATGGTGTTCGGGACCCGCGGGGTTCAAAGGGCACACACCTGCGGACCACGCCTAGTCCGCGCATGTGGCTGAGAATCTCGAAATCCAGACCGCAGCCCATCCACGTGTGTCCCCAGCACCCACCGCTGCTGGAGGTGACTCACCGGCCCAGGCCACTGTGTCACCACAAACATCACGATCATTTCAGGGAAGCGGTGTGGGTGACACATGCCACAACACGTCAGGAGGCTTGCACACGCCTGCTCACGTGAACCGCCCAGCTCAGCTCTTTGGAGAAACACCGTTTCTGTCCTGAAGATTGTGGCGGAGGGGGAGGGGTGCCCTGGGGTAGGTGAGTTTGGGAAACACTGAGGGCAACCTCCTCCTGGACATTTAGCAGAGCCGAGGCCAGTGCCCTGAGAGCTGTGCTCGAGGGCGTCCCCTCCCTCCCCACCCAGTGCTGCCGGGACACGGGACAGCCGGGACACGGGACAGCCGGACACGGGACAGCCGGACGGGGCTGCTCAGGACCCACTCGGTGCCACGCCAGGAGCACTGGTGCCGGCACTCAGGCAGCAGCTGGCCTCCTGCGGGTCCCTCCCCCACGGTGCCCCGTGGCTCCGAAACGCAGGGACGCAGCTCACTCCTGACCCACCGTCTCCTCGCGGGCGCACCCAGGGCCCAGCATCGCGGAAGGACGCCTCGGAGGGGCGGCTCTCCCTTCCCGCACACAGGCCACACTGGCCCTTCCTGGGACTGCAGGTCGGGCTGGAGAGCACGTCCACGCAGCGCCCGAGCAAAACGCAGGCCGGCGGCCAGCGGCCAGGCCTCTGCCCTTCGACTCAACGTCGCAGAGACTGAGCTGCCACACGTGGAAAGTGTGACTTGGAGGAACACTTGGCGTTACTCAGATCACATGTTACAATGTTAACGTACACTTTGCAATAAAATAATGTGGCCTCCCGGTCCCGTTTTCGTCAGGCAGCACGAGCAAAACACAACATCTCAGACGCGAGCAGCGAAGAGAAGGTGCCCTTCAAGCCAGAGCGTCGGCCTGGCCGGTGGCTCAGTGGATAGCGCGTCGGCCTGCGGACTGAGAGGTCCCAGGTTCGATCCCGGTCAAGGGCATGGACCTTGGTTGCAGGCACATCCCCAGTGGGGAGTGTGCAGGAGGTAGCTGATGGCTGTTTCTCTCTCATTGATGTTTCTAACTCTCTATCCCTCTCCCTTCCTCTCTGTAAAATCCAATAGAATATATATTTAAAAAACAAAAACAAAAAAACAGAGCCAGGCAGGGAGCCACGGAGGGGACGGCGTCCACAGCAGCTCCCGGAGAGCCAGGCAGTGCCGGCCTCCCACGCCCACATGCCCACACCCATCGCAGACACCTCCAGGCCTCCTTAGACACCGCTGCTCGACGCGGAGGCTTTGGGCGTCTCTGGCCACATCAGGTGACCTGGACAGGCGGGCAGCACTGGCGTCCCAGCCGGGATCGGGCAGCAGACAGCGAGCCCACAGGGAGTAGTGGCCGGTCCCGGTGGGGCCAGGGGAGGGGCAGCGAGGTCCCAGAGCAGAGGAGGCTGGAGAGACAGGGAGGCCGACAAGCCCTCCGATCGTTGGGCCACTGGCCAGGGCAGACTTACCCAAGACAATTAACATGGGAAAGCATCGTGCGTAACAGCATCGAGAGACCGCCAGCAAGGAAAACTGCTAACAGTTTAACTTAAACAAATCTAGTCCAAGGTTAAGTTCGTTAAAATTAAATCAAAGCAGAGACTAAAAATCTGTGCTTATTTTCATAAAAGGGAAGCCTGCAGGGCAAGGGACAAGGCTGGGAAAGAACATGAGTTATGTGCCCGTGTGTGCCCGTGTGTTGTGCATAAATCGATGCACGCATGTGCAGTGTGCACGTGTTCGTGTGTATTGTGCATGTACCATGTGTGCCATGTGTGCATATGTTCTAAATACATCCTGGACACCGGGAACCACTGCTCTACACCATGGTCTCTCACCTCGCCCACCCCCTGAGGTGGACAGTGCACCGCCTGTAGCCAGGACACCATCCCCTCGAGAGACGGAGGGCTCCTGCCATCCCCCCCACTTCATGCCCAAGGGCCTCCGGGGGCTGCGAGGCGCCCGCGACCTGGTACGGGGCGCAGTTTAAAGCCTGGCCCTGAGGCCGGCGTCCCCGGGCCGCCTGTGCTCGGGGAGCGTGTGCTTTCTGGACTCCTGTGAGCCGGCTCGGCGCCGCGGCCGTTTTTAGATCCCGCGGCCGGGCTGAAACTCGCTGCTTCCTTCTGCTTTTGAGTGAGCGCGGCCGCGGCCAGAGGTGTTTTCCACGACTTGGGTCGAGGTCTGTGTTCTCTGTTTCCTTTTGGTTCCTTCGGCTCCTTCGGGTGCTGCTTTTGCAAGTTCTTTTTCATTTACAGAAACCCTGTCTGACCCGCTCAGAGTCGCGCTAACTCGGACGTTGCGTCTGTCTCCACAGCACGAGCCCCAGCCCGCACTTCTGCCCCCACTGGCGTGGGGGACGCTGCCAGGCTCTCACGGGGCCGTCACTGTGTAGCTTCACGGCCCCAGGTGCTGGCCGTCGTCGGGGCACCTGCGTGTGAGCAGAGCTGCTCCTGGGTCACTGAGCCCAGAGCACGCCCACCGATCGGCTTGTCCACAGCCTCCCCGAGGAGCCCCTTCCCCCTGGTGCCCACCACCCCCCACCCCAGGTGGGCTCCGGGCCTGGCGGTGCACAGGGCACCGTTTGCATCGCCCCAACATCTCCAAGCTCAGCTGTCAGCTTGGCCAACTCTGCGCTCAGCTGAATAGAGACCGCGCGTCCCTCCAGAAGCAGGGCCTGGACCACCGGGCTCTGGGGAGGGCGATGCGGACGGAGCAGTCGCCGTCCTCCCAGGCGTGGCCTTGGGCGGATGTCGCTGAGACCCGAGGCCATGTCTGTCGACGTTCGGCCGCCGCACCCAGAGCCGGAGTGAGTGGTTCCGAGTCTGGGGTCCCTCAGGCCAGGGGCAGCGAGCAGAGGCCAGGAGGCCGGAAAGGACAGGCCCCGTCGCCGTGCTTACCTTAGCGACGCCGCGATCCGCAGGGCGTTCCGGCCACGCTCCCGGCGACGCTCCAGGCTCCCTCGTTGGCCGCCCGGACTCTGAGAACAAGACGGGGCTCCTGGTCAGTGAGGGAACCTCGGGGCGAGACTGACATTGGCCCGAGCACAGACCACTTCCTACTTAGAAGCAACGCC